CTGTAAGAATTGCCAGTAGTAGTTTATTTCCAATTTGAGTTACCCTTTTCCTTGCCTAGTTCTGTTGTCATCTCTTTCTCTGTATTTATATTCTCTCTGGTATTTCTTTTACACAAATACTATTTTCTTTGCCTTGCCCTTACAACCAATATTCTGAATATGGCTGTGTCTTATTTTGAACTCAGGCTGACTTGTCTTGTGTGGGTTTTAATTATCCTTTCTTCCTGGCAGAGAAAACCTTTCTGTGTTTGTGTTACTTCACCACAGTCCACAGAAAAAAATAATTGTACTATGTAAATCTTGCCTGGAATTGGCTGTGGAGATGATCTCCATATATTTTTTTGCTACACTTTAGGAATGGTGGGAATCTCAAGCAACATCCAGTGAAAGTAGCATTATTGAAGGTTTTACTTGAGCTCAAATGGAATATTCTATTGAAAGTATACATTTATAATAGATCATATACTGCCATTGCCTGAAGTAACTTGTGTTGTCACTAACTGCTTTAAGACTGCAGCACTGACTGCTGAACTAAGTATGCCTCATCTTCTTGCTTTTTATTATTGCTTTTGTTATTTCAGGGCCAGATTTGGAATTCAGCATGCATGATGGGACAATCAGAGATCTTGCTTTTATGGAAGGACCAGAAAGTGGGGGTGCTATCTTAATAAGTGCTGGAGCAGGGGACTGTAATATATATACAACAGACTGTCAGAGAGGGCAAGGTCTGCATGCTTTAAGTGGTCACACAGGTAAGCTCTTACTTCCATCTTGCATTTCGAAAGCCTATATTAGATCCATGTAACAATTGTTCTTGAAATGTCATCTTTGTGTTTTCCTGTGAGCAAGAATTCAATTATCCCTAGACTGCTCTGTGATAGTGGGGAAGGGTAGTTGTTTTTGATTTTTTTTTTCAGATTTTTTTTGCTTGACACTTTTTTTGTCGGTTTCTTTGTGGCTGATGGGTTGGTTGGGTTTTGGTTTTTTTTCTTTAAATATTCTGTTATATAATTCTGTTAAATATTTAACGAAGTGCATATTTTGTTCCGGAAAAGGTGCAATGCTGAGTATTCCTTTATATTATTATTTCAAAACCTGCAGATTTTCTTCAGCATCATGTAATCTCTGAATGCAAAAATATCATCAGAAACGTAACATTTCATTATTTGACTAAATATGCTGAATCCTTGTTTCCACAGGTCATATTTTAGCACTTTATACATGGAGTGGTTGGATGATCGCATCTGGATCCCAAGACAAGACTGTAAGATTCTGGGATCTGAGAGTACCAAGTTGTGTTCGTGTTGTGGGAACAACGTTTCATGGAACAGGTAAGATTTGCTTCCACACCTTTGCTCATTCTTGCATTAAAACAGAGGCTTTAATAGAAAACATGAGGGTGTCATTGATGTTTCTTTCCTTAAAAATAAACAAACACTTGAAACATTGGTGGCTGTTTTGCCTTGTGAAATTTAAACATGCTCTAAAGTATTTGAGAGTAACACAAGACACATGAGCTGTTTCAGGACAAAAAAAGTAAGCTAGCATTCTGTATTTCTGTATAGGACCATAGAGTATCTTGAGTGGAACACACCCACAAGATCAAGCTCAAATCCTGGCTCCACATGAGACAACCCAAAACTCAAACCCTATGTTTGAGAGCATTGTCCCAGACACTCTTTGAACTCCAGCAACTTGGGGCTGTGACCACTGCAGCCTGTTTGACACCCACCTGACCCTCCTCTGATGAAGCTCCACACTGTTCCCTTTATCTCTGTTGCTGTCACAGAGAGCAGAGACTAGCACTGCCCCTCTACTCCCTGTGAGGAGCTGCAGCTGCCATGAGGCCTCCACTCAGCCTTTGCTCTCGGCTGAAAAAACCCTGGGCCTACCTCAGCTGCTTCTCATATGTCTTGTCCTCCAGACCTGGATTCCCCACATTTGTAGCCCTCCTTTGGATGCTCTCTGATAGTTGTGTGTCCGTATGTCGTGGTGCCAAATCCTGCACACAGGTGGCCACCAGCAATGGGTGATGCAATGGAAATGTGTTTGTAGGACACACTTCCAGGAGAAGCTCCTTTGCAACTGCAAAAGAGGGAGAGAAACCAGGGGAGTTTCCTGAAGATACAAACCCTGGACAGACACACATTCTGTCAGTGATCACCATCGTGATCCTGGCTGGCTACAAGTGATAACATTCCCATTTTGTCATTTGCTTAAATACAACGGTTTGTATTTTTCTCCTGTAGGAAGTGCTGTAGCCTCAGTAGCTGTTGATCCTAGTGGTCGTCTCCTGGCTACAGGACAAGAGGACTCCAGCTGCATGTTGTATGATATTCGAGGAGGGCGAATGGTGCAAAGCTATCATCCTCATGCAAGTGATGTTCGTTCTGTGCGCTTCTCTCCAGGGGCTCACTACTTGCTCACAGGATCTTATGATATGAAAATAAAGGTGACAGACTTGCAAGGTAACATACAAAAGATGCTAGGTTAATTTTCAGTTTGTTTTTCTTACAGAGATTGAATCAAAGATAATATTTTGGTTTGAAAGAAAAGAATAGAATTTCAAGTGTTAGAAATGTCATCATGTTGGTGAGGGGTAGGGAGCTGATAACAGTAAAAACTATTGAATCCTATTGCTTGAAGAGCTGGCCTTTGCTTTTGCACAGCATTTAAAAAACTTGCCCTAAAAAAAGCATAAGTATTGTCATAATTACTGTGAAGAGTTTAGATGTAGATACCTTTTCCTAGCATCTTTCCCTGGACTGTTAAGTTGAATGTATGGTGTGTGTTTGTGTTTCTCTGTCTGGTTGAGAGGTGCAGTATGCTTCATAAGGTGAAATGCACCTGTAAGTTTTATTAAATCATAAAAAGCTAGAATATAAATTGATGAAATAACTGATGATGTCTGTTCCTCTACTGTAGGAGACCTCACAAAGCAGCTTCCTCTTATGGTGGTAGGAGAGCACAAGGACAAAGTTATTCAATGCAGATGGCATACACAAGATCTTTCCTTCTTGTCATCGTCAGCAGACAGAACTGTAACCCTTTGGACCTACAATGGCTAGAGTGCAACTAAAGGCAACCTATGCAGCTAAAGCACAGAGACCTGAGACTACAGAACTGTAAAAACCAAGTAATAATAATTAGGCATTCAGAGAGCAGCAGTTGAGTAGGAGAGTGTGTTGAAAAGAGACACTTGTCACAGATTTTTCTGGTTTCTAGGAGGTCTTGGTGTTTTTAGTATATTCTTTTGCAGTGCTTTCAGTCTTCCATGTGAACTCATGCTGCTGTGACCTATTGTAGTCTTGTTGCCAAAGTTTGAGAAGAACTTTCATTGTCAATGTGCACTCTAAGTAACATGAATGATGTGTTTACAGTTTGGTATTAATTGCATTCCTTGGTTTTTGCCTCAATGAAATTTTATAGAGGAACTTAAGTTGATCAACACTTCCAGTCAGTATCGAAGTAGTCCCATGTACACATAAGATATTCCACTGTTTTTTCAGATTTATTATATTCATCACTTCTTATCAAGAGGTCAGACTTTTTAACATCAACTTCAACTTTTTTAGTAATGAACTCTGAACTTCAAAGGTGATTAGGTGGTAACCGCATCTTGATTATGGTCTTTTCTTTCTCTTCATCTGGGGGGGAAATGTTGCTCTTGTTACTACATGACATTGTTTTCAACAAGCTGACATGTTGGAGGGGGGAAAACAGTAACATAGTGAATTCTTTTTCTGTAGAAACATAAAATATTTTGCTTTCTGAATGCAACAGAATACCTCTGTGTATAATGTACTGTAGAAGAGAGTGGGTTGGCAGCAGTTGTCACAGTGAACTTAATGGCTATCAGTTCTCAAAGTAAAAGGGATACCATTAACACTATAATAGAAACCAGCATGGCTTAAAATGCTATGTCTGCATGGTAATTTAAGAATTAAGTAATTTAAATTCCCAGTTCAGAAGCTTATCTGAATTTTATTTCTTGCACTGTTTATGTATGGGGAATTAGTTTTATTTCTACAGAACTTTAGATTTGAATGTTTATGTATTGTTATATTTTTTCATATTGTACAGTTCCTTTTACTTTTTAAATTTGAACCTTAAGCATTAGGTTATTTATTTGAACTGCAGCTAAGTTTTGGATTCTCTTGATTACTAAATTATACGTGCACTGTAGCAAAGCATTTTTAACTATCGTATAAAAGTGGAAAGGTAAATATAGAAGTGTATCTGTGCTATAATCTCAATAAAGACCTCCAACACCTGCAGCTACCTTATCTGCGTGAGATTCTTATGTAATTCCTCAGTGCTCCTCGAACTATTTGGCAAGAGCTGGTGCACGCTTAGAATTTGGTCTTTGTACTGTTTCTGAGAACCTGATTGTAGTGGGGTAAGTAATAACAGCCTAGGAGTGTGAATTTGTTTTGACACAGACGAGGAGCTGATGCTGCTTTAGAGGAGTGCTCGCAGCTACCGGCTTCCTCGCTCCTAAGCGAGCTGGGTGAGCATTAATACAGCTGTGGTGTTACAGGGTGCCCAGTTATGCATCACTTCGTGTCCTGGATGTCCTGGGAGTCTTGAGTTGTCCGCGGGTGAGAGCACCTGCCCTGTGCTTGCATTCACTGCACAGCGCCTGGTGCGTCTGAGCTGGGGGCGGAAGGGGGATCTTATTTACGGAAGGCTGAAGCGGTGGGCTGAGCGTGGGAAAGGGAAACGGTAACTGGAGTAACAGCAGGGTAAGAATTGCTGCGTCGCGTCTCGCAGCGGTGTACGGTTTACTCGATGCTTAGCTCCCGCACGTGCCGTGTCAGAGCTGCCGGCTGCCTGCCGCCTCGCCGCAGCCCCGCCTCGGTTTCGCTGTGCGGTCGGCTTTCCCGCCTCTCGCCGCATTGCTGCCGCTGTGCGGTGCCCGCGCGCAGCCGCCTCTGAGGTGATCGACGGCGCGCGGCCTTCCCCGCCCCGCCCGCTCTCTGTGCCCTGAGGGGCCGGGCCGCGCCTGCGCGCCTCGGAGGGGGGCTGCGCGGCGGGGAAGGCGGTGTAAGGGGCGGGGAGAAGCCCGGGTCCTCACTGCCGGCCTGGGGCTGGCGGCGCGGTGGGGCCGGGGGAGTGCGGCGAGGCGGTCTGCGGCGCTCAGGTACGAGGGGCCGCGCGAGGCCGAGCGGCGGCCGTTGGGGCGGTGGCTGCGGCGACGCCGCTGACGGGATCCGCCGCGGGTGGGCCGGGCCGAGTCGGGCCGGCTGCGAGGCCCCGACGGGAGGCCGGGAGCGGCGATAGCGACGAGAACGTTTGCTCTGGGTTGTGCGGCCGTTTCAGCCTTCGCACGGAAGCGGCCCCCCCCCCCCCAATCCGTGAAGCCCCGCGCTGTGGGCGCAGCGATGCTGGTGCTGGTGCTGGTGCTGTGCGCCGCCGTGCTGGCGGGCGGCCGCGCCCAGGACGACGACTGGATCGATCCCACCGATATGCTCAACTACGACGCGGCGTCGGGAACGATGAGAAGGCCTTACAAGGTGCGAGAAGCGCTCGATTGTTTGTCTGTCTGTCCGTCCGTCCGTCCTGAGCCGTGTCCTGCTCAGGGGTTGCCCTTAAGTCGCGCGTTTATGAAATATTAGAGTTGTGCTCTTTTTATCGTTCCGTAAGGATACGTTCTGGTCTGTAAACAGAAAGGAGTTGTACAGCTGTTCCTCTGCTCTGGGAAGTGCTGCACCGAGCGGCTCTTGCTGGGCTCCGGAGCACAGCGTTATGTGTCTGAAAATGAAGCGCCGGGCTAATGGGCGACGTTTGAGTTAAGCTGTCAAACTCCCCAGGAATGTAGGGGTAAAACTTGTTCATTGTATGAATGCGTTGTGAAACTCGATGGAGTTCTACTGCGTTGGACATCAGAGCCTTCAGAAGGAAGATCAGAACTGGGGTAGTTCTGTGCTGTTAGTACTCTGGGAACGTGGAGAACAGGAAATATGAAAATAGAATTTCAAAATGGTGAATCGCACTCTGATGGTTTGTGTGAGGAGCAGACTGCACACATATCATGAGATGTATGTTGATTATGTCACATAGAGCACTGTAAGCTATGGCTGGCGCATGAGCACCTTTATCATTTTTCAGCTTTAAATTTTGGTTTTGTAGTCTTGAATAATTCTTCTTAAGTATTTCAGAGCATTGTTTTAGGAACCTTATAAAGTGCAAACTACATTATTTGTCTTTGTAACTCTTGTGAAGAGAACAGTTCCCAGAGCATTGGGATGCTTTCACCCTTCAGGGTGAAGGGGGAAGCTGGAAAGTTGAGCAAGGCACACAGCAAGAAATGCAGCTGTGTTGACTTTCAGTCTGGCTGTATGGCCATCGGGGCTGGGGATTTGGGCTGGCTGGAAGCTGCCCTTTCATTTGCTGAGTCAGTGGTTAGCCGAGCTTTATCTAATCTGATGCACTGGGGTTCTTGTGCTCAGCAGCTCTCAGCCAAGGGGAAAGGGCGAGACCTCTCCTTTTGGGGGCAGCATGCAGGCAGCCGTAAGGCAGCTGTTGGTTTGGAGCCTGAAATAACAGCAGAGAAGCAATGGAATGCAGTTGAGAGCATTTGTGGAGAAGGCCAACCCTTGTTTTAGCACCTTTGCTCCTTAAAGTCTGCGACCTGTCTGTAGAAGCGTAACATGGCACGTTGATTAAATTCTTGGATTCTGAAAGTTTGTTTTTTCTTATGTAACTTCAGGTAACCTATCATGATTCTGAGGATAAGACAGTGGATGGAATCATCACTGAAAACTTATCGAGTTGTTCCAGGGAAGTGGATTCTTTGCAGCGGAAGGTTTGTTATGGAGAACTTCAGAGTATTTTCCAGTCTCTAGTTTGTGCCTGATGCAGAGGTGATGGATGACATAGGTAGCATAGGGACTGTCAGTTTGCTGTGGGAAACCATGCACTACTTAGAGGGAACCTCTTTATGTGACTTGAGAGAAAAGAAAGTGGTTTGATTTCAGTTCCAAATTACTGCTCTGTCTGTTAAGGGCTGTTTCCTGAAACGTTCTGTAGTGGTATAGAAGCTGGTAGGAGTTATGTGCAGCATTGACAGTTTAAATGTGGTGATGTTACTTCATGCTGCCACCACAGCTTAGAGAATCTGACTTTGCATTTGAGCTGTTCAGTGCTGGTAAGTTTGAAGGGCTGGGCTGTGGGTGAGCGCTCTTGTGGCTGCCTGCAGTGTGCAGTGGCAGCAGCTTTCAGAAGCCCCGTAGGCACTCTGATTTGCTGCTTCCTCTGAGGTCAGAAGGATGCAGTGATCCTTGTGTAGCCCTCAGTTGTTTGGAGACACCGTGTGAAATGGGGTGTTGGTATTGTTCTACTTGTTATGTTTTACATGGTACCAACTTGAAATTTAAGGAGATCCAGATCTGTAGTGTTTCTAGTCCTACTGATGTTGGCATTCAAACTGTTTCACTACCAGATCTGAAATCCCCAATACTGGCCAATGCCATGGAAAGCAGCAGCAACGTGAAAAGCTCTTTAGCAACTGCATGTGATTTGTATCTGATGTACTGATTGTGGGATTATTGCTAAACTAAAGAAATGTGACCCTGTTAATCGTGAGTTTCTTGTGTTGGTGGTATTTGTTTATTCTATAAACCAAACCATGTTTGTTTGAGCAACAAGTGAGTGGAAGTGTCTTTCTGTTGCAGATTGCAGAATGCGAGAACAGGAATGCCAAATCTCGTGAAAGCCGGAGCTTTTATATTTTTAAGCGGTACTTGAATAAAATTTTAAATGAAGCTAGAAAACTTGGTCTTGTGAGTATCTGAAAATGGATTAAAAATGAGTTTGAATTCATTCTGTCGTGCTTCAAATTAAAGTGAAGGAAACTGAATTGTGAAATTAAAAATGATGGAAGTATGTGCAGGCAGTATTGCTGTCAGGGTTTGTGCTGTTTGCTCACAGGAGGCACAGTTGTCCCTTCTTCTGTGAAGCATCCAGGGGCAGCGTGCGTGACTTGAGAAAACAGAATGCAGTGTCTATTGCTGGGATGCAGTAATATCTAGTAATGCCCTGTCTGGTTCACCTCAGCAGCTGTTAAACTCGGGAGAGCCAGATTCCGTATTTGCTTGTGGTAGCCCTTGTAGGCTTCTCTTTAAGACCTGATCACACTGCCCAGCTAGGAGTAGTAGCTTTGAATTTGCATATAAGAATCACCACATCTATTTCTTCATTTTATTGCCTTTGGAGAGATACTTTTTATTTTATCCGGGGTAGAACAATAATTTTTTAGCAGTTGGTAAAATTAATGTTTTAGAAGAACATTACCTTTAGCAATGTAACATTTCTTATTTCCCTATTTTAAAAGTTCTGTCTGTGTTACCCAGTCATGAAGAAGTTCAGTGGCACCCATAGTGTGTCAGTCATGAATGCCTGTCAATGAGAAGTGGTTGTAAAATTTAAATCATGGCTGAGATGACCCAATGCATTGTTTTTAGGTTTTTGCAGTAGAGTTGAAAGACAACAAAACAGCTGTATTTTTGTTCTGTATAGGCCTTCGTCCTGCATTCCACCACAAAAGGTGGCTGGTATATAATCAGGGCTATTAATCAGGATTTTGCAACGGAATATCATTTTTCTTACATAGATGTTTAAGGTTGCCTATTGGAAATACGATTGTTTTGTCTGGCTTTTAATTCAGCCCGAGGGAAACATGGACCAAGTGCATTACGATGCTGAGATTATCCTCACAAAACAGACACATCTGGAGATCCTCCGGTTCCTGCAGGAGGAAGCGTGGCAGTCAGGTGCTGTGGATGATGCGCTTAGCAATATTTTGATCAATTTTAAGCACCACGATTATAAAGCTTGGCACTGGAGATTCGAAGACACTTTTGGAATTGATCTGTATAATTTGTTTATGGTAAGAGAAGAAAGGCAGTACACTTGTATTAATTACTGTTTTCTCCTGTTTCTTTGTGAAGCAATATTACCACCTTCTCTCTGCATGAAAACCTGTCATATGCTTTTTGGTTGTTGAAGCTGTAAGTAAAGTAGTTATTTGAAACACAAACCTTTGTATTCCTCTGGTCTTACTTTCTTCTTGTGGCAATGTGATTTTTTTTTTTTTTTTGGAATGCATTTATTTTTCTTCTTTTTTGGTCTTTTGTAACCATGCTGTGGGACTCTTTGGGCTCTATTGGTTTGCTGTCATGACTTACAGTCATAATGCACAGTTTGTCAGTTGTCCAGATTTGTCTCTTGTCAAATAGATGCTGTAGCTGCTGGCTTTTATAGGAGTTGGAATGTGTTTTTATTGAGAGTAGCATGTATTTGAAGTCTTAGATTTTATAGGTTAGAGTTTTTGTGAGTTATATGGAAAAATTTTATGTACTGTTGTACAGTGTGGAAATGTCATATATTTTAAAATGGATATGACAACCTCAGTGCTGAACTGAAGATAAGCTGAAGTTCTTGGAATAAATCTTTACAAAATATGCTAATATTTGTGAGCTAAAAAGATCTTGAATGTAGTTTGTCTGGTTGTGGGGAGTGCCTTGGTGCTTAATGAAAAAGCAAGCTGTTATCCGTGCCACTTTGGTCCTAGCAGACCTCAGATGGAAAAAGGCTGTGAAGTGCTTCTCTGAAGTTCTGCTGCTGGTACTTAGAACATAACTTTATCTTGTAACCAACCCACAGCAGGTGGCAGCAGTTGCTCTGTGATTCATACTGTGTGCTTTGCAACTCAAGTGCTGAATTATACCAATTTTGTAAATATAAATTCTAATAGGTAATGTTATAAATAGCATAAGGAAGAAACAGCAAAATAATCAGAACAGTGACGCTTTTTTACTTTGTACTGCAGCAAGTATGCTGTGAAAGCAATCAGTTTTTCAGCTGTTCTGTGTAAGTGATGCCTGTAAAAGCAAAAGCTGGGAATTCCTTCAAATGTACACAGAGTAAGCCTGAAAAATTCCAAATCTGAATCATAGTTCTGTTTTCTTTTTCAGATACTCTTATGCTTAGTGTGTGTTGTGATTATAATAGCTACAGAGCTTTGGACCCGTATCCATTGGTTTGTTCAGATGAAACGTGTTTTATTAATAAGTTTTCTCATCAGTTTTGCATGGAATTGGCTTTACTTATATAAGGTAAGTTGTTTTGAAATCTTAATGACTTATAGGCTTAACATTTGATAGTTATGAGGAACTTAAGATGATTTAGTTGCCTGCAAAATAAAGAAAGGGAAGAAAGGCCTGTATGTTGATCAATGTATTAAGCCTAATGAATGATCCTGCCAGTTTGTACCTTCCACAGAGGTGCACAGAAATCATAAAGCATTGCGTGGCAAGGAATTGTGCTTCTTGACTTGAAGTCTATCTAAAGGAACTTGTTAGAAGCGTTACGAAAAAGTATTACTTTCTTTCTTTATAAAGATTCCCTGGATGAAACGAAAGCATGTAATAGGTGATTGATATACCAGAAATAAGTGCTTCATTAATGATTGTGGAGCAGCTAACTGAACTATGGCATTGTTCTTAATGACAAGGAACGTGTCCTACTGAGTTGTAGCCAGACACCAAACGTGGAGCCTCATGTCTTGCCATCAGGATCTCCCTGTGGTGTATCACAGCCTAGAGCAGGGAGTGCCAGCAGTGGGATGGCTCTTGAACACCAGAGGACTTGGTTGGGGTCACTGAATGTCAGACTTTTTCAGCAGATAGTTTGCTTTGAATTTTTTTTTCTACTGGGTTTTCAGTTGCAAACTGGAAGGCAAAATTAAAATGAATGTGGGTTTGTGCTAATGGAGTTATTTAAAAAGTAGAAGAGAAAGTTGTGATGTTTTAGAAGGTTCATAGCAGCTGTCTCCAGATTTAATACAGAAACCTTTTCAAGGAAAAGGTTAACATCATTGAGAAATGATGTCAGATTGCTTTTGCCTTGAATTTATATCTTTGAATGTCGAAGTTTGCTGGTTGGGTAATGGAGACTCCACATGGAGAATAAATCAGAGGTAGCTGTGGTGGTAGGTCTTTATCCATCCCCAAGAAGTACTTAGAACCTAACTCTGTCTAGGTAACAAGCTCTTGTGATAGCATTGCCTGGGTAATTCCCACACAGCTGTGGGCATCCTGTGCCCAACAGCCTGTGTGACACAGCAGGTTGCTGCATGGCAGGTGGGTTTGGCACCGTGCCCCTGACTGGCAGCAGGGCCGCTTGGGGCACAGTGCATGCTCTGGCTCGGGCTAGGGGCTGTGGGGCTGCTCTGGAGCTGTCCCAGGGGCTGTGCTGCTGGTGGCAGGGGCGTCTTTGTTTGAAGCAGTCACTGCCTTCAGGAAACTGTCCCTACTAAGAAACTTCAAACTGAGTTTGTTTTGCTTTTTCAGATATTCTGAAATATGAAATTATATGAAATAAGAAACGATGATTCTTAATCTGTCTTTATTATTCACAATTATTTCTGATTCTCCTGCAGCGGGCTTTTGCACAGCATCAAGCAGAAATTGCCAAAATGGGGCAGTTTGATAACATTTGTGCTGAGAAGTTGGACTGGAGAGAGAGCCTTCTTGGTAAATACACTTTTTCATTGTTTTTTAGTAGCTTTTATGATCACAAAATATTCAGTAATTGTGTCCAAAATACTCTTATTTCTTTGTGAATTGTAAGTATGCTGAATGTTCTTGAGCAGTACACAATTAAGAGGTTTCACCCTTCTTTCTTGTCACAAGACTTTCCTTTCTAGCCTTTGAAGGAGAGCTGAGATAAAAAAAATGATGTTCTTAGAGCATGTCACAGAATTGCTTCTTTCTCATCAGAACCTGACCTGTGAATGTTCCACCAGCTGCTCTCCCCAGCACCACTCAGTGTAGGTTACTGAAGATAGGACGGCAGAATTAAAGGTAGTTTCTCATCAGCCACTCATGTGAATGCAGCAATTGATAGGCAATTATTGAATCTACTTCTGTGATTTTACAGAGATGGCTGAATTGCTTTTTATTGTCCAATATTTATTATTCAGTACTGTAGCAGATGGACTAATGAAGCCTGTTGTCTTTGGTCTCACCTTTGAAATTCAGTGGCTGTGGTTGCTCTGTTTGTGTTAAATTTCAGTGGATTACGACATGGCTTTGCTGAAACCAAACGACAAAATCACTAGTGTCATAGATTACTTAAAGCTTTGAGTTCTCTTAAGGAGAAAGTCTTTGCTTATTCAGATCTTCTCCTGAAATCTAGCATATACATTCTTAATCATACTTGCAGCCTGGCAGATAAGTAATAACACTCAACATTACTTCCGTTTCAATGCCTGTGGACAAAATGTGCCAGATATGAAGTGTTTCCACAGGCTGTGTTTTTTTTTCATCTATGATTTCTAGGGACTAAGTTCATCTAATAAAGAGAACTTTCATGACTAAGCATAGGAAAACGATAGTTTCTTCTCTTTCTTTCCTGCTTTCCCTCTCCTTCCTGCATCCTTCTGACTGGATAAACTGCACAGCCAAGCTAACCTATGTTGTTGAACATAAATCTTGGCCTTGAACCATATCTAAAAGGTTTCTCTTCCATCTGCAGTTGAAGTGCTACTTCCTGTATTACTGTTATGTCATAAATTATGTTTTAGTAAGTAGTGAAAATGCATCCCTGCTTTGACTTCAGGATGGCTCAGAAGACAGTGGACATTTCAGGATGATCCATGTCAGAAGTACTACGAAACTCTGCTAGTAAACCCTGTTTTGCTGGTTCCACCAACAAAGGTAAAGGCCAGACCCAAAGAGATTCTTTGTGTTTCTTTGTAACCTGTCCCAACACCAGGCTTCCCTTTGTACTTCTCCAGGCATTGGCTATTACTTTTACCACCTTTGTGACTGAGCCTTTGAAGCATGTGGGACAAGGTATTGGTGAATTCATCAGAGCACTTATGAAGGAGATACCACTGATTCTGCAGGTCCCAGTGCTAATCATGATGGCTCTGTTCATTCTGGTTCGTATGCATTTATGGTATTTAGAAGCTCAAATTTATTTTTACATATTAAATTTATTTAAGCATCATTATTTATTTCTTATTTGTAGTGTTGAACAGATTTCGTAGCATGGGTGAAATTATTTGTACAAGGAATTTTTTTCCATTAAAAATCTTTTTAAGTTCAGTTTGGGATAAAATAGCATTAAACTGCTTGAAATCCTAGACTCTGTGACAGTTAACTTCAACTTTGTTCCCATTTCTTTCTTAAGAGTCATTACACAGCGATGCATGAAATTGCATTTTGTACATGAAAGATGTGAGTTAGACCCTTCTATGTTTTTACTGTAGCACAAAAGATAAATTACAATGTGGCAGCTGCTGCACTGTGCATAAAGTTTGAATTTTGTTGTAGCCATTTGATCATCAGTAGTTCTATTTCAGTATCTTTTAGTTTTGTGGCTTTGCATTCTGTGTGAAAACTGTAGGCTGCAACTGTTTAGAGTTTTGTTTTGTCTTCCCTCCCCCAGGCCTTCTGCTATGGTGCAGCATCATCAGTGTCTGCAATAAGATATTTAATGCCTTCTCAGAAGAAGAGGCTTCCTCTACCTGACAGTCAGCGGGAGGAAATAGACTTCAGCCAGTATGATGGGAGTAAATCCGATGGCTGCTATTCACAGAAGACTCCTAGCATTTGCAGAGGCCCCTACGACAGAGGAGATGTTCAGATGAGACCTGGAAATAGCAGCAGCAATCTTGATGTGCTGCATGCAAGTGGAGAGCCAGATACGCGAGTAGAGGAGTCTCAAAAACCAGAAGCTGATGTACGTTAGTCTTGGTGCTCCTTGGGATTAGGTTTGATTGACTTCGGTGTCATCTGCTAGAATGTGCTTAAGCAACAGGCTTAACTCAAATCTGGTGGGGAAGATGTAGCTGTTGCCCTGTAAGGAACTGTAGATTATTGTGGGCATGCTTTATTCTGGAAAAATATGGATCCATGGTTAACCATGGCAGGAACCTCCTGAATTAAAACACTTGAACACTGTTCTCTCAGGGAAGATAGGTTACCCACAGAAGGAAGGGAAAAGAAGAAAACTTTTCTGTGAATTACAGAAAATTAAAAACAGATTTATACTCTAGATTGTGCTTATTCCCTGGAATGTTTCCCTGTGGGGAAAAAAAGTTAAAAGGGAGTATTGATAATGCTTTGAAGTTTGGAAATTTGAGGGAGTTCTGTCTCTGGAGTTGAAAGGCACTCAAAGCTACAGATACCATCGGTTTGGGTTGCTTGATTAATAACTTATTAATTTTTACAGAATAGATTGCACACTGAGGCTGAAATTTGTAGACTAGAACCTTCTGCAGCTGCAACCCATACCGGAGAAAAGGCACTTGAGCATCAGAAGCAGTGGACAGATAAAGCAGAGCAAGAGACTGAGAAAAATAGTGATCCTAACAGAAACGTGGAAGGACAAAGTTCTGCAGTGGGACATGCTGAAGAGATGAAGAGCAGTACGTGCGAGTCACAGGAGGGAGACTGAGGAGTCCCTACATTCTGTAAGTTTTGTCTAACATAGAATTATCACATACTTGCTAGCTCCATTCTAGTTCTCAGATGGAGAGGAGAGCCAAGTAAGCTGATGAGAACTCATCTTTGGCCAGAATATTAGTAAAAGTATCACTTTAAGGTAGGGTTTTATACTATGAGATTATTGTGTACTTCTTGTGGAACTTGAAAGGAATGGATTTTTAAGTAAGCAGCCAGGAGAACAGCCTTCAACAACCTTGGCTGTGGCTGCTTGCTTAACATCAAGTTTGTGTGACAAGTTTCAAGTAAAAGCAAATACTCTTTGGGAGGAAAACACAGATATTCTGCGATGAGCAAACACAAGGCTAATGAGGTAACTGGAAAACTGCTTGAAGAAAGTTGCTGATAGTCATATATCACTCATATAAGAACAATTGCAGATGAAAGTGAGGTTTCAGGACAATGCTTGTTTTTTATGGTTTAAAATCAGTTTTCAGAAAGTAGAAACACTAGTCATCAGCTTAGTTTAAGGAAATCATAATAACATTCTTTTAACTTAATCCTGTGCAGAGGTGTGAGAAACTGATATTGTATCAATTTGTGTCAGGGAAATCGAAAGCCAATAGCAACACTAAAGTAAAAGTAGCAGAGATCAGCTCAATAATGCGATGGTTCTCCTGGTTTGGGAAAAAACATTTTGCATTTCTCCTTTAAAAAAAAAAAAAAGTGTTTTTGCTTCAATAGGAGAGTCAGATTTCAGTGCTAAAAAAGCTACAAGAGAATGTAAAATCTTCAGTAACTATAAAATATTTGGAATTATGTGGAGCCTATCTCCATAACTATTCTTTAATTTTTCTTTCACTCTGAAGCTAAAATTAAAATCGGATTCTTCTCTGGGGATATAATACTTAAAAATTTGAAAGGAAACTTGATTTGTGAATAGCCCAAGTGATCAGTCTGCCACCATTAGCATTAAAATCAGCAATGTGTAACACTAGGTACCTACACGTAACATACAGATGTAAGGGTTCTCAAGAAATGCATCAATACAGGTGCCTATTGAGGGTGAACACTAACCATTAGAGCTATTTCTCCCAAGAAACACCCTAGCATAGCACATCATGTTTTCATGAGAAGTAGTGTTTGAGGTTCTGCAGTAAGCAGCAGCCATATGTTCGTTATTTGGAATGTTTAAAGCTCATATACTGCAGGAATTAGCTGCTGGTCATGGGAGTCCAGTGAAGTGCTTACCATCCCTGTGAGACTCCTGGTGCAAAGAATACTTGTGGTGGTGCAAATATACCTCAGCTTTTAGAATTACACTGACTGCTTCTACTTAAAATACAAGTGTAACTTTAGAAACTAGTTTTGATTGTTCCCTGCATTACTCAGTGCAGTTCTGTACTTAAGGAAATATTAACAAAATAAGCCCTGTATGTTTTTAAAAGAGTATTTTCATTGTGAAGAGGAGTAAACCAGATTAGGTTTTGATTTAGTTTTGTGGTTGTTTTTTTTTTTTTAATTAACATGATGCAGAAACACAGATTGGAAGAAGCAAAGTCAGACTCAGTACTGAAGTAATTTCTCGATTACTTTTATTAAAAAAAAGTATAAAAGAAAATGGGACCTTTTTTCAGGGAGGTACAAATCAGAAAAAAAATCAAGTCTTTATCCTTATAAAGAGCATACAAACCTAAGTCTCAAACTAGGTGTGGTAGAGATCGCACACCAGCAACAACAATACCTTGAGAGAGAAAAAAAATGCTGTTAATGTTCATAAACTAGAGGCGATTAAGAGGGAGATACAGTAACCTGTATCTCAGACACAGCTAGAAGTAGCTGCCTGATACTAAGACACAACTCCAACTACCAATCACAAGTGCAGTGCTGCTATTGTACAAAAAGTGATTATAAAGGAGACAAAACTACTAATTGCAGTCCTTTGTAAAAAGACACGTATGTTTTTCCAGCAAACAAAAATGAAACTTAAGATGCTACTGTACAGTATGAGCCTGTGTTTCTCCTCAGCTAGAACTCGGTCCTTTTATAGCAGAGGGTAAGTGGACTCTTTGTTCATCCATTCTCTTAGCTTGGGATCGTACAATGAGGCTGAAAAAGTCCTCATCTGGTACAGTTGGTCCTTTTGCAGATGATGGAGGAGCACATCTTTGATCGTCCAGTCTAGAACCCTAGGGACAGACCAGGAGAAAGGCTGTACATTTACTGTGTAATATTGAAATAAGCAAGCAACATAACTGGAAAAAATGACTAAAAGCTTTTCTTTTCACATTTAAAACTGTAAGCTTTGTTTGAGGCTTATGCCTTAACAGTTCTCAAATGAAATTACTATGTTAAAAGTTCAAGCATAGTTTTTCTAACCTTTACTTAGCTGTTAAAAAAACCTCCTGTAATGGAAGAGCTGTCGTCCTTCCTTTCACTGCAAAGGGTGTGAAAAATAGCTACTGGGTTGTCAGATTTGGAAAAGCAGTATCTAGAGACTCAACAGACCGATACATTTTAATTATAGGGTTGCATAGCAGTTTGCCTATAGTGTCTGAGCTGTTTTCTGTGCTATTTCACACCTACTTCAGGAGTCTCAGGCTGTCACACCGTTGCCTTGGACTGTCACCTTTGAGAAACAAGTCTCAAAGTCAGCTCCCCTGTTGCACATCTGTGTAAAGCAGTAACAGCAGTACCAGAGGACAGGACTGAAGTCTTCCATTCCTTTCTCCTTTTGTGTTACAGTTTGGATAGACACAGTACACAATTTTTATTATATTGATGTCTAGATAATTTGCTTGACTCAGAAAATTAGCCAAGGTTCTAAAACAAGATGTTATTTCATCAGGTTGATGAATGCTGTAATTCTAGACTCAGTGCCAGGTGTTGCTTTCCATGAAAGCTAATGCAATTTAACTTACCTTTGAAGTTCTCAGTAGCGGAATTTTTTATTTGGAGATCCATAAATAAACTGTCAAGTAAAATACCAAGTCTTCTTCATTAAATTATTTTGTCCAGTTGGTATATATACTGTGCTATACTTGGCAGAAAAATCACTTGCATATACCATGAAGTATTGTTACCATAATTTTAATGATGATCACTAATTGCCAAAGCAACTTCAATACTGAATTTTCATTTGCTGAATTAAGAATTTCTGGTATGTCAGGTGTCCAGTAAACAAAGCCAGCTCCAAACACACTGACAGACTTATTTGTTTTCCCTCAGTTTCAGCATCCCTCAAGCTCATCATTGGTCACTTAAGTTGGTTATCAGAAGTATAAATACAAACATGATAACTTCTAGCCACTGGATAACAATATATATTTAATATCTATTATATTAAATATGCTTTAATATATACAAACATAATTTCATATGTGCTCTCTCTGTATATAATAATTATATTCATATAACATTTTATAATTCCTATCATATAATAATAATTTATTATATATTATTTCATTATTATATACTAATGCTATATCTAGAATATCATTTTATAATTATTATTAGCAATATTATATTCTGTATTATATATTACATTATATAAAATATATATTACATTATATATTACTATTATTTTAAAATTACAATATACTGTTAATATATAAATCTATATTGTACATTTATATAACTCTACATTACATAAATGAAATATATTATTACATATATAATATAACAAAATAATGAATATAATACATTTAATATATTTAATAGCATTATATTAAATATATTGGTTGTAAATATTATCTAATATAGAATTTAATATATATTCAATACATATTAACATAACTATATAATAGATATTAAATTGATTATCCAGTGGCTGTAAGTATATAAACATACCCATAAGACCATATGTGAGGGCATGTGTATGAATGTACGTGTATATAAAAATGTGTGTAACGAGGCTGCATATAAGAATATGAGTGTATATATATTAAAATATGTGTAAATATATGTTCATAGATATGACATATACATAGCATTTTATTTTCATACATATATGTTTAGATTTTTTTAACTTCATGTCCTGATCTACCAAATGCGTATTTATCTTAAAGCCTTTGTGCTAAGCATGGAAGCCTTCTCAAAGACGTTGAATAGCAGAATGCACAAATCAAACCCCAGAAATCTCACAGCCTTACCTGGCATTTGATTAATATATCAAAGAAGTCCTCATCTAGCTCTCTGTTGTTACTGGCCATTAAGTGGCCCAACACAGATGGACTGGTGCGATGGTTAAGACGAAGGCCAGGTAGATTGCTAAAGCTGGCGCGTTGGTCATCGAGGCGGCGGCTCTGTGAGCTCGCAAGTAAATCCAGAAAGTCATCAGTGTGGGGTGAGACTACGGAAGCAGAAAAGGCTAAGGGAAGAAGAAGGAAAACAAATGAGCACAGAAGTTCTTCTCCGTTCAAATACATATTCAAAACAACATTTGGCAGAAACTGAAGTCAGCTACAGATCTTATTTTAAAAATTACACTTTCGTATTGTTTTAGGTGGAGTAGAGGACGTTGCTACTGAAGCAGCTGAGAATCTGTTCTTCTCCTGGAAGTGGCATCTCTGATCATCCATCCTGTTACTCTGGAATCGGCTCAGCAGATCAAAGAACCCTTCATCTGCCACTGTTTCTCGACTGTTTCTCTGAAGAGGAGAGAAAAGTTAGAGGTACTTGGAACTCAAAAGTACCTAAAATCTAGGGCAACTGCGGGGCAGTTTGATTCCAGTGATATATTTGCATATCTGAAATTCATTAAACTAATTTTTTTTAGTCATCCATTCTTGTAGACAGAGATTTATCCAAAGAAGCAACATTTATAATATGGCAAACAGTTCTGGAAGGTAAAATCTGGTAAAGAGATTTTGTTCTCAGGAAGAAATGGTACTCTGATTAGTATAAGCCCACCAAGAACCCCAGTGCCCATAGGCCATGAAATTTCCATTTGCTCCTTAGCTCTGTGTTGAAAAGCACTCTTCTCCCTGCGAGATCAAATGACTCCATTGTTTTCTTTTTAATCAATTTCCATGAAGAGTGCAGTAATCTAAAATACAAATTTAATTATACCTTCCAGTGTCTGAATCTAAAAAGCTATGTTTTTCAAGTTAGGAGAAGCAGAGTCGGGGACAAAGACTAGAAATAAAAAATATGCAAGCTGACCTGTAATTTCAGACAATCTATTAGGAAAATGTAGTAGTTCCAATAGTAGGAGAGACGTACAGCTGTCACCACCCAGGAGACAGAAGGAGAATGGCTGATTCTACATCAACTTACAGCATTTAACTCAAATATATAAGTAGAACTAAAAATGTTATCTGCACAAACAAGTTTTCAGTAGTTTTGGACAAATCAAGATGATATGAAATCAAGGTTATGATCTGACAGGACTCCAAACCTACCCTCGGAGAGTTGGGAAGGCGGTGGTCAATAGAATTACTGGCATCCTGCAGAACTTTGGAAGCGGTGCCGTTTTTATACTTTTTGCCTTTGAGTCGATTTACAAAATGCAGTTTTGCTGAAGGTTTGGCAATGAGTGGTTTCTGTTTAGCAAGAATCTCACTGTTCCAATTCTGAACCTAAAAAAGAAACCAAAACATTTTCATCATATATTCTTTTATTTCTTACTTGTGTATTCTTTTCATCCCCAAAATGAAGCAGCTTTATGCTTTTCATTTTATCCAACTACTCAGACATAAACCTTAGGTTTTGCTTCTGTTACTTGACCTGTGATTATTGAGATCTTGTTACCTGAATCAGGCCACTACTGCTACTGATCAGTCTTACAACTAAACCATCATGCAACAACTGATTTGACTAAAATGTGCTCGTGGCCTGTGTAATCAAACATGCTGATGTTTTCATTGCTGAGGGCCATGCAGAAACTGTAGGAAGAATGGGGAAAATGCCAGCACGAGAGCAAACAGGACTAACTATCATTTCACTGAAAATAGTAGGGGAAACAGTCTGACAGAGTTCCCCTAAATACTCTTCCAAAATAAGTGCCCCATAAATCTGACAACTTCCTCTACAATAGCACTGTTCTAATTGGAAAAAAAAAGTTCTTGACCCTGCATCAGAGCCTGTAGCCACAGTCCAGTCTTTCAGCAAAACAGAATTCATTCTAAAACCTTAGAGATCAACCCATGTTCCAGCTCCAAGATGAGAGTATCCTGTACAGTCAAATAATGCTAGTGTCCGTCATGTTGTTCTACACATCAAAGACACTTAGGGAGTAAACTTCAGAACCTACTACATGAATGTCTTGAAAAGAGCCCTTTATAAGAACTAAGCCACAAAATTAGGTTAATACTTGATTATAAAAATCCACATGAAGCATTTGAGTATATTTAGGGCAGACAATCACAGGCTACGTCTTTTAAAAGATATCACAGACAAGCAGCTTCAGAGAATAAGAAAATGCAGCTGATACTGCCAAAAGCTTAATGGTTCCCTGCAGGGAAATCCATCTGCAATAAAGCCCAGGATCTTTAGAAATCGTATCCAAAGTGGTGCTCAAAGAAAAAGTGCTGCTGCATCTACACCAGCTGTCACCGTGTAAGCTTAGAGATTTCATTTTGTATTTCTAAACATGGCAGTATGTTTTGGATCACTTGAAAAGATGGGCAGCAGATACCCCCATATGAAGGAAAAAAAATAGCAATTTCAGCTTACCTTTAGAATCATTTATGTAGAATTGCCAGTTCATATTTAAATTCCAAAGAGACTTCTTCTTGAAGGCTGAGCTAAAGCTTTCTGTTCTGAATCATTTCTAACATTAAACTCTTATAAAAACCTTTAGATTTCATTGCAATCTCACCAGCAGAGCAAAAAAAAA